GAACTAGAGTTCAACGTATATTTTTTGGCCATTTGATCTGTCATATCGACTCCAGATTTTCTTTGATTATAAAACTGAATAGAATTTGGTAACGTTTTTCTATTACTTCTATCAATTTTAATAAATTTATGCCTGGAACTTAGAACAGCCACTTTTTTGTTCGGTTTGCTTTTATATATTGTAAGGACACAATTTTCTGATCTATATAGGAGAGTGGAAAAACGAGGCATGTTGTTCTTCGATTGTTTTGCTGCTTTGGGTAATTCCCTTTTATTTCCTCTAATAGTTCCAACTAATGTAGTTTTTCTCCTGTCAGCTGACAGGGCACTCACTTCTCACATACTCACTCAGCGCACACCTCTCATCTCAGATGACCAAGGGTCATCACTTTTGACACCTGAGGCATCACTTCCTGGACAACTCAATTTTATCTTATACTGATAAATAAAATAGGCCATGTGACCGCCCTAAATTGTATGACCTGTCATATTGTTGTAGGTTACTCTCTCTCATTATTATCGCAACCGTTACGTAGTGTATACGCGTTTTTGTCAGAACGGCTGACCAGGCTTTTCCACGGAAAATTTAATTACGTTTCATTTCTCGGTACCGCTCAGTTTAATCAATTCGACCTGCTCAATTCATTGTGACTCAATTACGAACAGTTCAGTGACATATTATTTCATTAATAAAATGACTTCTGGATCTCATCTTATGCATTCTCCCAAAATTTCCACAGACTCAGGTCTCATAACAAACAATTATCAATATAGTAGACCCATCCAATACTACCATATAAATACTGCAACCGCGCCACCTGACGGGGGCGAAAATATAAATCTATATGTTGACATAAAATGTGCAAAATTCTCCTTCTGATTGGCAATCAGTGGAAAAAAAATAGGAACCAATTAATTAAAGGAGAGTTACTATTTTCTCAGGATAGTTTTGAACGCAGGAATTAATTTGCTTTAATTGAAGCAGCACAGAGAATTTATTCAGGTTCATTATGAACAGAGAAATTAATTTAAAGCATCAGTGCATTTTATAGCGCATGTGTGAATAATTACTTGTACCTGTTGCATATGTCTGATTATTTAAGATTAGTGAATGATGACATTGTCGCCACTAATCATATTATTTGCCACGTTCACAACCTGTTCCGTTGCATGCACGTGTTTTGGAAAGCATTTTCCAAATGCTGGTCACCACGAACAGAACTGTGTCGAAAACTTAATCAAAGAACGTTAAGGCCCGGGTGGAGGGATTTTTACCCGACATGTCCCTAGGAAATTCCCTAGAAAAAACGCGTTTTACGGGTAACTAAATGCCAGCCCCTGTAGGCCCTCAAAAAATATAATGGTAGGGTCAATCGATAGATAATTATTTTTGCCGGGCCGGTAATTAGGTCTAAGGGGTGGGAAATTGAGGAATGAACGTGTAAATTACGTTCAAAGAGACGCCCTAGATTTCACCAAGGTGAATTCTCCAATAATCGTTTGGGGAAAAATATGGCGGTTCAATCACTGCGGAATAAAAACACTCCCCACAATTTACACATCCACTTCTCACTCGCGACACCCAATTACCTGCCCGTGAACACAATTATTACATTTTTCGCGATTTTTCCCGGAAAGATTCGATGCACTGAACGCCCAGAATTTAGGTTCGCGAGTACGAAGCGATCAGCTGTCAATTTTAGGGAAACGAAGTTTAGACAGATGGCGATAGTGTGGCCTCTCAATCTGGGAGAGGCAAAAATGAGTTTCACGGCAGAAGTGATCAGGAGCGTATGAAGGAGGGGCACTTTTGGGGGGATAATATCCCAATGGGGGGACAGGAATAAATGGTGCTGGGAGGCTGAATTTCTAAATTAGGGGTTAGACAGATGCATCAAGATAGAGGGTGGGTGGAAGGGTGAAACTGGGACTGAGAAAGGGGTTGCGTTTATAAACATGGTGTTTGTAGGCATGGTTAGGGGTGAAGTGAAGGGATGCAAATGGGATGAATGCATGCAGGAAATTGGAAGGTTTTAAGGTGAAGGGATAAAATGCTTCTAGATAAAATGGGGGGTTTTTACACCCTCATTAACACATTCCCAAGATGCCCGACGGGGTAAAAGTCTGTACAGGGGTAAAAAAAAAATTCTCCACAGGGTTGGGTAAATCGACTCAGGGGGTGATTCTGAGTGGATCTGTACCTATAAATTTCGACATTTTTTTTCCACCCTCACTAACCCTCTTGCGATGGTCGATGGGGTGAAAAAAAAGTCTTTACAGGGGAGGGTAAATCGACTCAGGGGGTGTTTCTGAGTCGATCTGTACCTATAAATTTCGACATTTTTTTTCCACCCTCACTAACCCTCTTGAGATGGCCGATGGAGTAAAAAAAAAGTCTTTAC